GCGATTTCACTTCTGTTCAGTGCCTCTCAGGACGCTGCCTGCAAGCATAGTTTTCTGTTCTTTTCAAATGTTCCAAGCAATAAAACACATTTAAGACTTCAGTGTCTCTGGGAAGATCTACCGTAATCATTACGGTTCTGGCCTGTCTTTGGAAGCCACGGGCAGGCAGGAGAGCAATTTATACGGCTGGCTCCGAAGCCGGGAACACACTCCGTCATTCTGCGCAGCTTTGGGGGAGGAAGGCCTGGGGCAGTCTGAGGCCTCCCTGCAGACACGGGGGGCCAGGGGGCCATGGTGGGGTGTTGGTGGGGGTGTTGGTGTGCGCAGCATGGAACCAGGAGGCAGACAGATCTGGAGTCATCCCAGCGTCATCCGTCCTGTCTTTGCCGTTCGTTGGCACATCCTTGGACAAATTAATTTCTTGGAGTCTCAGTTTTCTCCTCTGTCAGAGTGGGTTGGTGATGCCCGCTTTGCATGGAAAGCCCGACAGTAGTTCTTTATCACAGAGGTAGTCATCGATGAGATATCACAGATCTGTGAAGGGCTGGCTGATGGCTGGAGCTGAACAGGGACCACGTGAATGGGGGTGTCTTAGGGTTCACCCTCCCACTCGGTGGCACCCCGATGGCTATAGCCAGCCTCCACTAGCATGCCAGGAATTCGCGATGTCACAGGGAAGCCTAGTTCGTTTGAAGGAAGGGGAGACGCATGGGATATAGAAGAAAACCTGGCCTAGAGCTGAAATCTGGGCTAGTTATGTGACCTTGGAAAAGTCACCTTATTTATTTCTTTATTAGTAAAATGGAGACTGTGACCTCGTCCGTAGGGTGTGGACGGAAGTTAAATTGTGTCGTAGGCATAGTCTGGGACTTGGTACACAGTCAGTACTCAATAAATGTTCGGTAAAAATGAAAGTACTATGATTAAGTAATTTCAGGAAGTATTTTTTTAAAAAGATATCTTTATTGATTTCAGAGAGGAAGAGAGAGATAGAAACATCAGTGATGAGAGGGAATCATTGATTGGCTGCCTCCTGCAGGCCCCCGGCTGGGGTTTGACCCTTGACTGGAATCAAACCTGGGACCCTTCAGTCCGCAGGCCAACGCTCTATCCACTGAGCCACACCAGCTAGGGTGCAGGAAGCACTTGTTAAGCAGCTCCTGTACTCAAGCATCAGAGGTGATATGGTATCAGCGTGTTTCCTAGAATCTCCACAGACGTGTGCTGTGAATTGAGCACCTGCCTACCACTTTAGAGCAGGATACTGTATTTTCACCATCTTTTTTTTTTACATTAAAAGTAAAAACTTGAAAACTAATTGGAAATATACCATATATTCAGTTTCGGGGCCTGGGTTTTTCACTTGATATTACATCCTGAACCTTTCCTCATGTCTTCAAATATTCTCTATAGAAATGCTTTAAGTGGCTGCATAGTGTTCTGTCACTGGCTGTTCTCGAATTTACCTACCCACCCTACTATTTTGGGGCATTGAGGAATAAATGGCTTAAACATGACTCTTAGCTGCTGAGGTAGAATTCCTAAGCATTCATGTGTATTAAGGGTTATTATTCTGTGGTTGAAAAGTTCCGAGCTGCAGGGGACAGGGATTGACCAGTTGGCCGTAGGACTCCCTTCCAGCCCCAACCGTCTCTTTTGTCCCTGGGACGGGAGTGAGTGGGGCAGAGCAGGTGTATGGCAACTAATTAGCCAGCCCTGAGTCGCTGTCATCACCCAAGAACCATATCAATTTCAAGCTTCATTGGCGTTCAGGCAGCAAAGAAAAGATGGTAATTAAACATTTATCCAAATAGAAAACATTTCAAGTTCAGCCAGAATTATTTGACATGTTTTCCAGCTATTAAGAATGGTTGATGGTCTATGTTTATTGACATGTGATAGAGAATGCAAGCAAATCTGTAAAGTAGCGAGTGTTGCGGCTGATCCACTGCACAGCTCGTCTCCCTGCGGGGCTGGAGCTGGCCAGGGAGGTTGCACCATTCACAACCCCGGGGCAGGTAGGAGGCGCCCCTTACGTAAAGGCTTCAAGTTGTAGAACAAAAGGAAGAGGCTGAAAGGAGAGGAGACAACAGCTGGACCCCTTCACCTCTTCCTCTAACAGTGATAGAAATAGACTTGGATAATGGTTTCAGTTAATTTCTGCCAAAAGAAAGAATTAGAGGTTGAAATGTGCGGCTGATCCCACACCCCTCCCTGGGGAGGCTTGATGCTCCCCAGACGCCTTCAGGCTCCTTTGAGAAGAAAGTTATGGTCGTTTCTGGCTCAGGAACGTTGTGAGCTGCTCCCAGTTGCTTCCTGTAGGGAGGTTTGTCTCGCCCTAAAACAGCCTGCGTGTCCCTGAACTCCCTGCCTGATCTTCCAGTCCCACCCAGGCCTGTGGCTTGGGTCATGATTCGGTCACCAAGTGGTGCTTTCGAAGACCAGAACCTTCTCCAGGACTGGAACTGTGATCTGTTTTGCTTCGTGCCCGTAACGGGAGCAGCACACCACCAGGCCCCGCACACGTGTGCTGAGCGCATGACTGCAGGCTGCTCTTCGTTAAATTGTGGGCCATGGCAGCGGCTTATGTTTCAGTGGTTCTCAACCTTCCTAACGCCGCGACCCTTTAATACAGTTCCTCATGTTGTGGTGACCCCCGATTTCATTGGTACAAATTGAACATAATTAAAGCATAGTGATTAATCACAAAAACAATATGTAATTATATATGTGTTTTCCGATGGTTTTAGGCGACCCCTGTGAAAGGGTTGATTAACCCCCAAAGGGGTCGCGACCCACAGGTTGAGAACCGCTGGTTTAGATCATTGTCTGGGCAGCGCACAATGGAGACGGTTCCCCAGAGCTGGACAGCCCCACACGGTGCAGGAAGTTAGCGTTCGTGTATAAGCCACATGGGTAGCTTCTGGCGGGCAGGGCCTCTCTGTAAATATCTTAGAGCATCTAGTACCCTGTTGGGCATCTAGTAGTTGCTCAAGAAATGAGCAGTGGTTGAAATGGTGACGAATGAAAGAAACAATGAATGAATGAGCTACCTCCTTAGTTCTCCCTGGGATTCCCAAGTGCTAGCTCTTGCCTGGCATGACGTGGGCCCCAGGAACTGTATCAGATAAATGACTGGTAGATGGACAGACACAAGGGAGGGTTGTTTCATTCCGTCTCGGCCTGCAGAGGGCGGTGGGAGAGTGGGTTTGGGCGTGACTCTAGTGGTTGCCCTATTGGACAACACTACCCAACCCTGCAGCCCCCAGCCCCCTGTCACTCTGTCTCTGAAAGCTTTCTTTAAAAAATTTTTTTTAAATTATTGATTTCAGAGCAGAAGGGAAAGGAGAGAGAGAGAGAGAGAGAGAGAGAGAGAGAGAGAGAGAGAGAGAGAGAAATAGACCATCAATGATGAGAGAGAATCATTGATTGGCTGCCTCCTGCATGCCCCACACTGGGGATCAAGCCTGCAACCCAGGCATGTGTACTGGCCAGGAATTGACCCTTGACCTCCTGGTTCATAGGTTGACGCTCAACCTCTGAGCCACGCCAGCCAGTCTCTCTGAAAGGTTTCTTAACAGTGATGTCTCCTCTCTTGATTCCCCCCACCCACCCCGGGTTTACTGTAGGTTTCACCAGGCAGCTAATCATACCCTACCTTTGGAATACCTTCCGTTGTTGTCGTAAGCGGTCCTGGGGGACCCTTCTCAGAGAGCGTTTCTGCTGTTTCCCAGTGGAGAGGGCCGGAGGGCTGGTGGGAGTGCTCCCCTGGGAGTCGGGGGCCTCGGCTTTGAACTCGGGCACCAGCCTCTCTGAGCGGTTGTCGGGGTGCCTGATGAGGGGGGACAGAGGCCGGGGCTGCCGCGAGGATGGATGAGAACCGGCATGTGAAGCTCCTTGTAAACTGTGAGGTGCTTTACGAACTAGGCACCGCTCCGACCCCAGCCCCGGGAGCACGGGGCTGTTTCCTGTGCGCGTCCATCTCTCAGGAGCCCGGGCGCCGGCCTCTCATCTGCTACCCTCGCTCAGGCTGCGCTCCTGTCTTCCTTTGGGCTTGGAAGCCACCTCTGCCCCCAGGCGTTCAAATGCCCAGGAAGGCATGGAGTCACCCTGCATTTGTAAGGAAGCAAAGCAGCTGACAGTGGTAGCTGGCCTTTACACGGCCAGGCACTGGTCCAGCCCTTTACACACACATGTCTGTTCGTTTTCACAGCAGCCGCACGAGGTGGGTGATCCCCAGGTGGCCCCTGAGGCAGCTGACGTCACTTAGCTAGTGGCTGTGTCAGGGTTTGGACCAGTGGGCTGTCCCCAGAGCTTGTGCTCCCAACCAAGGGGCCCTCTAAGCTGCCCTGGGGCTGGAAGGCTGCAGTGAAGGCCCATAGCCCACCTTCCTCCCCCATCCTCCACAGGGAGGCCCCGCAGGGCCCTTCTCCTGCCCAGCACCCCTCGTTGCTCATGTGCGCAGCCCCTGTCTCTCTTCAGGCGCTCTTCTGCCACCCTTGCCTCCCTCCCTGCCCTTGACCTAAAACAGGAGATGAGAGCAGCTGCCAAGACGTTCTCATTCATTCCTGAGGAAATTCTGCACGGTCAGAGATCGAAGGACCGCAGGAATCCTCTGGCTCAGGTTGTTACGAGAAAAGAGAGGCCTACACTGGCGCAGGATTGATGCCCACACCATATCATAGCAGCACCCCCAAAAAATGTTGTTCAGATGACTTATGAGTATGGAGGCAAACATTCTAAACAACACATCAAACCGACTCTGGTCACATATAACACAGGTCGTACATCCCAGGGATGCAGCAGGGATTTAACCCTGAGAACAGGGGCCGGGCTGGGGAGCAGCTGCTGAGATGGAGCGGCTCAGGGCCCAGCCGAAGGCACTTTCTGCTGACAGTCCCTCCTCTGCCCCAGGGCTCCCCTTCCCATGGCCTTGAGTGACGCGAGCTGTCCCCTTCCTGGCGGGGCCCTCCGTAATTCTCTCTCCGTTTCTCCTGCAGGATTCCATGTTTTCGTTGGCCCTGAAATGCCTTATCAGTCTGTCCACCATCATCCTCTTGGGTTTGATCATCGCCTATCACACACGTGAAGTCCAGGTAGGTGCCCTGGGCCCTGACCCGTCAGGCAGTGGCCATTTCTTTCAGCGGCTGAGCCTGTCCTCGCCCCACGTCGCCCCCTAAGCAGCTACTCGGACGATTCCGTAAGATGGTGTCCAAGAGTGTGGCTCTTCTGTTGGTTCGGACCCTCGTGGCAGAGGGAACTGTGGCTTTAGCACAACGGCGACGTCATCTTCACTGGGGGGTCCCAGAGGCAAGCGTGGCTCTATTTAGGGGGCAGTCCGCTCGGAACACTCCTTTAGTGCCACTGCACTGCTGGGACACGTGAGCCTTTCTTCATCTAAGCCCTACGAGTTGCTGTGACTTTTCACTCTTGCTGGATCCTTTCTGAACTCGAGTCACAGAATCCCCCCAGTGAGAGAGGTCTCGTATCCTCCTACTCACACGCACACGCACACGCACACGCACATGCACACGCACACTGCATCAAATACCATCAGGAACCTGCATTTCCATGTGCTGTAGACTTTACCCTGTCCAGGGGTGCCCAGGAGTGACTTGGCACCCAGAGAAATATTAGCTGGGTCTCTGGGGTGCACTTCCAGCTGGGAACACTTCGACGTGGGCTGGAGAGGGAGGCCGGAGCGAGCAGATCTGTGGCATGTTCTGTGACAGTGGGTCCCCCCCTCACGGCCCTTCAGGATGGCCTGCTCTGCGGGACCGGGTGTCCAGGTGTTCCTTGTCCCACATGTGGATCTGGGTGTAACCCGGTCCTTTGGCTGGAGGAGCACAGATGGATCCACATCTGGCAGCAGCAAGAGGTCGACAAAGACCAGAGCTCAGAGTCAGAACATCTGGGGTCAGGGCCCAGCCGTGACCTCTTCTCACGGTGTCTGTGGCCAGGCCTGTGGCCTTTCTGGGTTGGCACATGTGAATCTTCCTTCGTCTGGGACACGAGGGTTCGGCTCTGCCTGTTACAGGCTGCCGTGAGGATGGGGTGAGGGGCGTATGGGAGACGCTCAGGAACCTGAGTAACCTCTTGTTGCTCATCGTTGTGGGGGCAGATGGCGGCACAGGCAGATGGGGGTGTGCGGGCCTCCCCACAGGGAGCGGGGCCGCTTTCCCGCTGAACGGCGGGGCTTCTGTGCTGGCCTGGGCGCAGAGGCCTCGGCTCCGGCCCGCTGGGCAGGGCTCCAGCTGTTGCTGACCAGATGACACTGACCCAGAGGCTGGGCCTTTTAGTTTCTGGAGGTCACAGCCGCTCAGAGAGATGCTGTGCTCTGAGGGCTGACGGTCCCAGAGGCCACCGAGCAGCTTCCCTCTGGAGCCTGAAGGACAAAGCGTGTGGCCTTTAACCCAGACCACTGTCCAGTCGGCCCCAGGAGGGAGCCGGGAGTGTAGGCAGGAGGGACGGGCAGGAACCAAGGCAGGACCGGGAATCAGTCTGGGCTTCCCCAAACCGGTCACGGAGCTGGGAGCCCCTCCGCCCCCATCCCCTCATCGGCAGGGAGTCTGTCTTACTATAGGTCACCCTGACCTGTGCGGAAGGTGTCACACAGGCCAAAGAAAACGGCAGAACCGTAAAGATCAGCGAACCACGCAGCTTGAGGGAGGGGGAAGAAGAGCGGTTCCCAGCCACAACCCCCACGATGGTCCCTGAGCTGACTGCTTCCTCTCCGCTCCAGGCCTTGGGCTTGGGAGAGCCGGGTGTCCCTCCCCTGACTCTCTCGGGGTCCTTGTTCCCAGCTCAGGGCCTGCAGCTTAGCTCTCAGCCCCGATCTGGCCCAGCAGCAGCTGGGACCTCCGCTGTGGCCGGTGGCAGGGCCATGTTGTGACAGGCCAGCCTCTAGCTGGGCACCCTTGGTCCCGCCCCCGGCTCACGGCCATCTTTGCTTTGTCCTGATGTTGGTCGGTAGAAGGTGCCATTTCAGGTGCTCGCCTTGGCCTGGCGCTCACAGTTGGGAGAAGCAAAGTGGAATCAGTGGCTGGGACTCCTGGCTCAGACGCTTCAGTCTGAATGTCCGGGGGCCAGTCACACCTTCTGGGGCCGCGGTGACCCCCTCTGAAGTATGGGAGTCCTGTCGCCCACTGTGCTGATCCCGGAAGGAGCCTTGGTAACAGCAGAGAGTACAGGGGGGGCTTTCAGGAAATGAAACCTCAGTCCCTTCTCTGCCCCACCGCTTCCAGCTGGGCCTGCTCATGTGCAAGCTGGGCCCACCAGATGGTCACCGGCACGTCTGCTGGCGCCGGCAGGTGGCTGGGCTTGCTCTCCACTCTGGCCCGAGCCTGCCTGCACCCAGCGCCGCCGCCCGGCCCCACATCCGACGTGACCCGCGGTCTCAGGGGAAGTCTCCCGTCTGGGGCTCCCTCTGGGCCTCTGACCTTCCAGTCAGGTTCTTTCTGGAGGGAAATGGGAGAGGTTTGGGCCCAGGTTGTCCTGGGGGGTGTGGTGGGGGCAGGGAGGGCTTGCTCCCACACCTACACCCCTGCATGCACCTCACCCGCCATCCTGTAGGGAAGAGGTTCTCAACCTGTGGGTCGCGACCCCTTTGGCGGCAAACGACCCTTTCACAGGGGTCGCCTAAGACCATCCTGCATATCAGATATTGACATTACGATTCATCACAGTAGCAACATTACAATTATGAAGTAGCAACGAAAATAATTGTATGGTTGGGTCACAACATGAGGAACTGTATTTAACGGGCCAGAAGGTTGAGAACCACTGCTGTAAGGTTTTGTTCCGTGCTTTTCTCCCCGACCTCAGGGACTAGGGTGCCATTAATCTCCATTTCTCGGGACTCACGGTGTCTGACAAAGAGCTGGTGTTTGCAGCGCTTGTGTTGAACGAAAGGGTCCTGGGTTCAAGACACCTGGTTTCAAAAGCAGTTTAGACCGTTATTTAGCTCTGTGGTCTTGGGCCTCAGTTTCCTCATCTGTTCACCGGGGCTCCTAAGCCCCCCCCCCCCCCCCCCCCCCCGATTCTGTAATTCCCTGAATGAGGTGTGGTGTGCGGCCAGCGGGGGGCCGGCTTCCGGAGAGAGGGCGGAGCCCCCGGAAAGCCCCTTCCGTGGGGCGAGGCCCGCGGCTGCTCCTCAGGTGTGAAGCGGGCGGGCAGGGGTGCTCCCTGCCTCGTGGGTGCTGGCGGGGGCTGTGCAAAGGATCTGCTGGTCGCTCTCTCAGCCTGACCAGCTGCTGGCCACTTGGCTGCAGGTTAGCAGGGACCGGACGGCCACCTCTCCGCCTCCCCCAGCTCCGCCCCAGATGCGCACCTCCAGCCCCAGGCCTGGCCCTGCACACACTTGATGTTGGGGCACCGTCTAGAACAGGATTCCTCTTTGTTAGTTTGGACAACTTGTGGTTTGTTTTTTTTTTGAGGAAGAAGAATTCTGAAACAGTACTGGGCAATTCCCAACCAAACTCCGGCTTTAAGTCGGAGAGCCTCGGCTTGGCAGGTCTCAGAGGGGACGGGGGTGCCCCTCCCCAGTGCATCACGAACCCCTTCTGTCTCTGCGGGCCCGGCCCGCCCACGACAGGGAGTCGCTGTCTCCTGGGGGAGGCTGTCCCTCGGTGGGTAGCACGAGGTTTTAGAAGCTCTGTCCTCCCACTTGGAGGAAGCCGGCTTCCCCGGAGCTCTCAGCCCGGCCCTGGAGCAGGGAAGAGGGGCCCATGGTCCCGCGAGGCAGCCTCTGGTGTTGGAAAATGACCGCCGGGCTCTGCTCGGTCTCCTCTCGTCTCGCTGGTGGGAGGCACGGAGCATGCAGCATGGAGCTTTCAGAGGCTCAGGCATCTGTTATTCTCCTGCCAGTGTGTCCTGGAAAGAAATGAAAACACCCCAAAATACGCATTTTTAATTTTTAAAATTGATTTCAGAGAGGAAGGGGGAGGGAGAGAGAGATAGAAACATCCATGATGAGAGAGAATCATTGATCGGCTGCCTCCTGCATGCCCCACACTGGGGATCAAGCCCGCAACCCGGGCATGTGCCCTGACCCGGAATTGAACCTGGTGACCTCCTGGTTCATAGGTTGACGCTCAGCCACTGAGTCACGCCAGTCAGGCAACAAGGCATTTTTTAAAAATTTACCAAAACGTTGAAAACCTTACTCTCTCTCGGAGAGCCCATTTGTTCCTGTGGCTTGGCCATCACCAACTCCCAGATGGGCAGTGGCAGCCTCTGGCTGCAGGCTCACATCTTTGATGCTGTTGGCACATCCCTGGCCCAACTCGTAAAACACGGGGCTCTCTTTGCTCCCCAGTGTCCTCCCTCCCCCTGCTCTTTGAGTTCCCATCTGGCTCCTTCACTCCATGTCTACTTATGAGGGTCTCCTCTGCGCAGAGCAGGGACAGGAGCCGGGTCTCGGTGCTAGAAACCCTGACAGCGCTTTGCTTCTCCAAGGGGTTGTCAACCTTCTGTGAATCTCTGTCTCTGGTGATGCCTCAGGTGCCACCCTGGAGGGCAGGAGAGCAGGTGGCTCAGAACATGGACTTTAGAGGAGTCTGGCCTGGGTTCAAATCCTGCTCTTTGACACATTGTAGTGTGTTATGGCGTGACCTTTAGCAAGTTTCTTAATCCCTCTTAGTCTATTTCCTTCCTGCAACATGGGGCTAATAATAGTACCCATCACAAAGGGTTGTTGTGCAGATCCAATGAGATAATATATGCAAAACACCTTCGCTTAAATGAGGCCGTGTTTGCCTGGCAGGCCTCGCGGGAGGGGTATCCCGGCAGAAGTCTCGAAATAAACAGAGGCCCTGAGGCGGGAGCGGTGGCAGGCTTTGGGGGCACCTCTGGGACCATGTCCTGAGCGGAGGGGGGGGGGGGGGGCGGGCGGAGACTTCAGAAGCCATTCACACCCAGCCCCTGCCTTTGGAAGCTGCCTGTCTGAGACCTTGATTCGCTGAGACCCAGGCTAATCCGTGCCATGATGTGAGGTGTCTGTGTTTGGGAGACTCTGAGAGGAGTGGAGAGAGAACAGAAGGGAAGTGTGTGTGTCCTCAGGGGAGGCTGGGGTCTCCCTCCTTGCAGGCCGCCGGTA